ATATGAATTTTGGGGGACACAAATTCAACCCATAATACCTCATAAGCCTCTATTGTAATTAGTGGACCACAAAGACCTTTTAGGTCTCTTGGGATTAGTGCTGGCTTAGGGCCAGTTCCAAATATTCCCCAAAGGCTTGGGTATTTCCATTTCTCCAAGCACAGGAACATAGGTTAATGGCTTAAGGGTCTTTTGGGGAAGACCAGAAGTTTTACAGTTCGGTTATGATGATATGCTGGTTGCCTCCTCCAGGGTACCCAGCATCCTTTAGTCAAGAACTTTGGGTCTGAGAATTGAATGAGTGTCCATATTCTCCATTTTGGTGACTCAAAACAGGCTTTTCTGCCATTCCTGGAGTTTCGCTTTGTGTTATACAGACCAAGTAGAAACTGAGTAGGTTATATTTCATCACTCCGGCTCTCTGGCCTTCGTACTACTGTCCCTTGGCCCCTGTCACTCCAGGATGCCATCATCCCTACTGATCTCAGGGATTCCATTTCAATGGCAACATCTCTTAGTATCATTCTTAGCCTAAGAGGATATTCACTACAGCACTTTTCAAGATAGGGTGTTCCCCCTATCTATGTACTTTCCAATTTCTTGATGAAAGAAATATCCTGAGTATTTTGGAGGACAAAATTAGGCGATGAATAGGTCACACATATGGTAAATCTGCATCGACATTTCTATCTTCATGTTTTCCCTTTGTCTTCCAATGCTATGCTAAGGAATTTTTGGCAGTTCAATTTCTTTTTGAATGTAGGCCGCTGTTAAGTCCAGGTTTCATCCAACCAACCAGCTAAGACTAAAGCCAGAATCTCTAGAATGCCCCTATCAATAAATTCAACCCAAATAAAATAAAATTATGTTCTTTTCTTCCTGGTCTAATATCTTTAGAATCCAGTTCACACACATTCCTCAGGTTTCTACTGATTCTAATTAGCAAAATATTACATTTCTTCCATAAGCCTCAAATTAGACTGTGTTGGCCTTCCAGATGTGTACTGGCATCTGCCCGTAGTTACAGATCTGGTGGCAATAGGGACAGTGGGTGGGACAGAAGTACTGGCATTCCCTTTCAAGGCACTACACCACGGTCTCCAAGTGAGACTGAGAGGAAAAAGTTAAGTGGAGTCTGTGGGTTCGGGACACTAAGATTTACCCAAACCCATTAGAATGTCCCCATTTCTTATTTCAGAGCCCCACTCGTTCCCAAACAATGCCCTAATTTTCACATAAGAGACCTGGTAAGGCTATGAATTTAACTTATGCTGCAATTCAATAACCCGGAATCTCCATTTGACTTTCATGCCCATCAGCCTCGCAGCTACAAGAGACAAAATTCTTTTGGAGCTCTCCTGTACTTGCCTTGAGCTGCAAGTTTAAAACTATTGAGCCTTTCATTTTCTTCAGCCTCTCTACCATAGCCACTACCATTTAAGTCCTCATTTCTTACATGACCGTCTATCATGGCAGCCACTTGGTCTGCCAAAGTCTTTCCTCCGAAAGGCATTTCATTTCAGGTGAGCAGTCATCTTTGCCTACTAGTTTACCATTTTCCAGTGGCCATTAGATTCTTATTTCCTTCCAATCTAACTCAGCCATAACTAACCTGAGTCCCATCTTTGAGGGCCTTTTGCCTGTATCCGCTTTTGGAACCAAATATTTTATCAGTCAGGGTGCAGTAGTTGCAGGAAACAAAACCCTTCTACCTAGGTTAAGTAGAACAGGACTCAATACAGGTAAATTAGGCGCTTACAGGAGTTGGGAAGCCTGGGCAAGTGGTCCCTAGGCTGGACCTTTAGGAAAGACTCCCAGATTGTTCTTCTATGTGGGCTGCTACCTCTGCCACCATCAGGAAGATGAGGAATCAGGAGGCCACCACAGGCTGAAGAACACACATCACTGTTATTTATGGATCAGGAAGCCCTTCACACCCACAAAACTCCCGGTGGACACTGGACTACCACTAAGGTCTCTACATTCTTGCAGGAGCAACAAAGGAGCTGAAGATGACCCCTGAGTCACCTTTTCCTCCCACATCTTATTTGTGCATCTAATTGGCAAAACTTAAATTATACTCAGAACCTTGTTTCAAGGAAGTTTAAGATTATACTGTAGTTTTAGCTTTCCAGCCTGTGGAATATAAGAAAGTACATTAGGGCCGGCCGAGTGGTGCGTTGGTTAGGAGTTGGCTTCGGACGCCAGCTCTGAGCAGCAGGGTCCCAGTTCGGGTCCCATATGGGCCAGTGACGCTGCGCCCTCTACAGCTAAGATGGTGAGCAGAAGCTTGACCTGGAGCTGGGCTGCCGTGAGTCGGCGATGGCGTACGCTGCAGTAGGGCTGCAGTGGGCTTCCGTAAAGCTACCGTGAGTGGCTGGTAGCCAGCGTGAGCGGCCGTGAGCCGCCGTGAGTGGCCGTCCAATGGCCAGTGACCCATCTGCCTCTGCCGGGAAGAGCGCAATGATCACAATACCAACATGGGCCAGTGAAGCGACATCCTCCACAACTAGACTGAAGAACCAAAGGACAGCAACTTGTCTGTTCCCCTCCCCCAATTCCCCAGTAAAATCTTAAAAAAAAAAAGTACGTTAGAAAGAGGTCAGAATGAATGAGTACCTGTTTACCATATCCAACAGTTTCGTTCCATTGGCCCAAGTAGGACTTGTGGACAGACATGTCCTTTCTGTTTTAGCCCCTTTGAAAGTTGATCGCAAGCACCCATCTGTCTGGCTTTGAAGATTACCTCTTCCTTGGTCTCAGAGGAACCTAAAATGTCCTTGTCTTTAGAGTTGTTTTGCTAATTGACACAATCTTGTTCCCAGGCACTTCTAACCAATGTACTACTCTGCTCCTTGGTCCACTATGTTCCAGCCATATAGGCCTATATGCTGTGTGTCTGTGTGTTTAAACAGACTAAGGACGCTCTACCACAGAGCCTTCGTACTTTATTCCTCCTGTCTGGTATCCACACCACTTTCACTCCATTCAGGATTCTAATAATAAAATGTTACTTTTATCAAAGAGGCCTATACTGCCCGTCTAAAGTAGTACCATCTGCCACTCTCTCTTCATTGTCCCTGCTTTGTTTTCTTTATTGCACTTACCCTCATCCAGTTAATGTATCTGATCATCTTTTACCCACTTCGGTGTTAGTGTCACAGGAGCAGAAATTTTGTGTTTTCCTTATTCATACATCCTATACCTGAAACATAGTAGGTATTTCCGAATGAACAACAACTCTACCAAGAGGAAACTAAACATTCCCCATATTATATATAAGCGGACCAACTTTTTGGATGCATTACCCAAGTCGTCCTCTAGGTGGCGGTGACAGGGCTTTTCATCTACTAACGTCTAGGAGATACAACAGTAGTGTTACAAAGGATTAGAATAAACTTAAGTTTTTCATAGCCTCTGGTCTAGAGTTCTGGGCTTTCTTTAGATGACACCCATAATCTCCCTTTGCTTTTTTCTTCTTATTCCTGCAGGAGTTAAAAACATGGGCCTTTACCAAAAGCATTTTCAGTACAGTCTCACTTAATCTTTACACCCCATAAATAGAGGCCTATTATTCCCATTTCCGCTAAGTGAAAACAGACTCAGAGTAAGTTGCCCAAGTCTCACAGCAGTAAGAAGTGGAGCCTAGAGAATACAGGTTTGGCTGCAAACTGCTGCCCCTCCAACAGACTTTTTTGATTTTATCCAAGTTAACTGAGTTAACCGCTCTCTTGATGAGGGTTCAAGAGGATTGCAAGTGTTGAGTTGGTCATTTGCATTTCAGAGGTTTCCAGACTGTCTGCCTCTTTTCCCAACAGGCTCCCTTTTTCACACGCGGACAGCCTCTAGGGTGCCTTCTTCCAGAGACTGAAAGTCCACTAACAGCATTTCCTGTCCCAGGTGCAGGGAAATGTGCTAAGTCTGGTTGCAGTGCCCAAGACATAAGACCCTTCCAAGATGGCTGTTGTCCAGACTCATCATCCTCATTGTAGTAAAGCACAGGCCAGAAGACAAAGAGCAGGCACACCTGTGAAAGGAAACAGAAAGCCATCTGGTCCTCAGGGAAAGGATGTTTTCAATTCTTCCTCTGGGCCCAGGGCTAAAATGATACAGAAGTTTGGCACTGGAAGCTCCTTTAAATACTGTCTGAGCATTGGGGAAACTAGGGGCAGGAGCGAGTAACTACTCAGTCACAAAGTAAGTCACTGCCAGGTTTGCAATCTTACATCGCGTCTCACGAATCTCGTAATTTTTCTGCTATACTGTGTATGAGTGTTCATTTCTTAGACCATTATTCTAGACAGAGCCAAAATCCCAAGTAGTACTAACTTAGCTCAATTTTGACAAGTTTAAAAGATCAGATCAAATTAAGTATGTTGAGATTTGAATGGCATTTCCTCTCTCTGCTTTCATTACAAATTTTAGTCAGATTCCTTAGCCTTTCTTATTTAAACTAGATTGGCAAAACTGAGAAAGCTCTTTAGAACAGTGACTGTGCATCTGAGAGCATAACAAACATGTAGGTTATTGCTTGGTGATTATGCAGAATCAGTACATTTCTTCCTCCAGTAAGAATACTCTGTTTCCCAGCTCGTAAACCGGCTATGTTCACTGGGATCTCTCTGAAGAGCCACTGGAACCGCCACCCCTACCCTCCTCTGGGAACACATTTCTAGTAGTGGCTGCAATACAGGAAGGGTAAATAAAGCTTTAATAGGAAAACTGCACAGCTGCCTCTAGAGGGCAAACAAGGTTCATTTTAATCTACAGCTTCTCTATTTGGTTGACTCAGCTAATTCTTCAGTCCAAAACAAGCCTATCTTTGCTTCCTGTCATGCTAGGAGTCCTTGGTTTAGACAACTCCACTGCAGTCTGATTAAAATACAATCCTTCTTCCCTGAGATTAGGAACACTTGGATCTAGAGACTGTGAAAGATGTAGTGGTCTGTTTCAAACACTTGGCTCTGTAGGACTACCCATGCCAAGGAAAATGAGATGAGTTGAATTGCAACAGAAATCTTTATTAAAATGTGTCCTTAAGTAAGGTTAGCATACATACGATATACACACATACATCTGTACACTCTTTGACACACCTAACGGATTGCCACCGTGGGTTTAACCAATAAATTAAAACTAAAAAAGAGGGGAAGGGGGTAGGAATAAGGGCAAAATTTCCATGTTTTATCTGTAAGAAATTGCAAATTTCTTAGAATTTCCTTGAGGAAAACTTGTGACCAGAGAATCTTTGAAATAAAATACATAAATCTCCACCCCACCCCACCCCCCAAAAAAGATTCCAAAAGATGCAGTTACAAGTGTGCTTCTCAGAACAGGAGCATTCATTCCACTTCATACTCTGGCTTCTGCACCTTCTGGCTTCAAGACAGTCTTCCCCTCAGCTGGGGTCGAGAGGTTCATATGGGCACTTGGGCTCGGTGCACCTTGGGCTCTGGGAGTCGAGGGGCAGGCTGCAGTATGGGAGCGAGGGGAGCCACACTCATCGGAAGTGATGTCTGGCACATCATCTGACTGTGTATCAGAGCTCTCCAGGTCACTGCGGATGCTCTCAGGCTGGGCCAGGCTGATGTCCCAAGGTCTGCTGGCCAGGCAGTCTTTCTGTTCACAGCTTTGGTGTCTGCAGGAGGGATGCTCTTCACTGCTGCTGCTGCTGCCACCACCACCACCACCGTCTTCTTCATTCTCTGCCATCTGAGCATGAACATGGAGCGAGTCCTCTGTGCTGCTTCCACTCACCAGCTGATAGTGGCTTGGTTTGGCTTCAATGTCCACTTGGATTTCCATATTGTTGCATTCTCTGTGGAGACAAAATCCACTTTGCTGAGTCATGCATGAATCATGCTCTACCTGTTGGTGAAAGCAGTTTGTGGGTTCAGGATTAGGAGGTCCAAAAACAGGTCAACAGACTAGAGCTCACGTTTAGCAAAAATAAAAATTTAACCTAACACTCAAATAAGATGGAGAACAATTAGATCCCTTTAGTTGATTTAAACACACACACACACACACACCCCTCTCCGCCAATTTCTTTAAAAACTGAACTAAAAAAAGAGATTCCAAAATTCAACCAAGTGTCAGAGCCTCACACTATCTTACCCAAATATGAAAGTGAAGGAAGATTCATAGCTTTTTACTACTATGCTACAATTAGAAGAAACTAGGAACTCTCCAGAAGGGAGTGCTGCAATCACATCATACCAGATACACTAGCTTCTCAAAAATAAAGAGAAATAGGTTACAGGAGCCACATCAAGCAAAGGGCACCAAGAGAGCAGAAACCAGAGACCTACAGACATCAGTGAACACCAATCCAGCTCTTTAAGTTCCATGTGAATAATTACACTTTTTAATAGACAAGAAAAGCCAAAAAAAAAGAAAAAAGAAACCTCTAAAAACGAAGCGCTAACAAGAAGAATCAATCAAGAGCTGCCAAGAACTTGCTCAATGAATTCAGAGTACACACACTATATATCCCACTAGATGCCACACAGAGCCCTAACATAAGGCATTGAGCTTCTGAGGGCCTAGTACCCGACCAAGAAATGCAACCTCTCCTGAGCATCTGACTGTTCACATACCTGTCCTGTGGGTTGTAGGAACTGATTATGGAACCGGCCATAGCGCGAGTGCTTGCGTTGTCACTAATTGCACCAAGACTGGCTGTGTCTTTGGGGAAATTTTCCTTTTGGACATCGGCTTGGACTTCTAACCTGTGTAAAGAGGGGACGTGCAAGTTAATATAAGGCCTAGGTATTCCGAGACAGTCTGCTTCCTGGCACACATCTCTTCCGTTATTCTCTTGCAACCTGACTTGATTTGATCTTCTCCAATTGCCAAATAGATGCCCACACATTTTTTCTCTTAAATACACGTATCTATTGAAATCGTCCCCTCCTTTCTTTCCCCATTGCTACTGCTTAACTTCAGGCCTCAACATCTCCTGCCTGGATAATTGCAATTGGGCTAACTAGTAGCCCCGAGTCCAAGTCAGACAACTTCCAGATCAGTGCCAACGTGGACAGAGATCTGATCACTTTCCCAGGCCTCTTTCGGCTCCCTGCTGCCAACAGGCACTCAAGGTCTTCCTCATCTGCCTCCACGCTCTCTCTCATCATAGGTCCTAAGTCATAATCACTTGCAACTTTTTCTTTCCTGACACACCTATACACATTTTATATCACCATGACTTTGTACATACTATTCCCGCTCTCTGGACATTTCCCTTCTCTACCTGACAAACTCATACTCAGTGGTTAACAAAGAAAGTGTCATCTACCTCTCGCTCTCCCAGCAAACCAGTCACTTCCTGCCAAGTGCTCCCAAAGCACCTACCTATTTATTATATCAGTTTATGTATCTGTCTTCCACTCATCGGTGAGCTCCAAAAAAGGAAAGACCATATCTCATTCACTTTACCCTCCAGGTCTTTGCTCGTGCTAGGAACTCAAAACATTCAACAAGCAAATTACCCCCAGGCAATGAGATTGAAGGACATACAGGAGCCAATCTCCTATAAGAGCAGCAAATTTTTCCACTGGTGTCTCAGAGCTAAAAAACCCGTAACTATTTCCTTTCTTGGCTCCAATACCATTTTGTTGTACACGTAAGTATTTCCCTATAATAGGTTTCACAGTCAAACCCATCTGACTCATTCATTTCCTATAAAAGGCTTTTACAGAACTGGAACAGCTGGCCTGGCTAAGCTGTAGTTTCAGTAAGTCAGTCTCCAACTAGGTCTGTCTGCTTATTTGCAGGGGTGTTGGTTTTAAGAAAGCACAGCGGTGACTTCTCCGGCATGTGGGGGCGGGATCCCCAGGTTAGAGATAACCAGAGACAGGAGATGCAGACAGGTCAGTAGCAGCCCGGCAGCAGCCAGCAGCTGCGCATTCACACCACCTCCGTCCTGCTGCTCCAGCCTGAGGCCCTTCAGGAATGTGACAAGGCCCGGGGAAATGAGGCAGTGCAACAGAAAGTGCATTGAGTCAGGGACCTGGCTTCTGGTTTCAGCTCGGCCATGGAATAGCTTTCACAAAGGCCAGCTGCTTAGGTGATTCCCAGATGCTAGCTAATTCGTGTAATGACTATGCTATCAGAATCACTTGGGGAGCCTTTTCAAAATACAGATCCCACTCCAGGAGATTCTAATTTATTAATACTAGGATAGGGCCCTGAAATCTATTTTTAAGAGGCTCCCAGGTGACTAACAGGCACTCAGGAGTGGGATCCAGTCTATCTGCCATCTGTTGCTTGACTCCTTCTAATAGCCAAATGGCCATCAGGTTTCACTTTAAATACTTCCAGGGATAGATAGCTGAGTATTTACTAAGGTAATCCATCCTTCTTTGGACTTTATATAGATTTTCTCTATATTCTCTATAATGAAACAAAATTCGTTTCCCTCTAGCTTCTGCCAAGTCATCTTAATCCACCTCTTGGCACAAGTCAGGATTTCAATCCTTTTTTCCAGTTCAAGGCACTTCAGATATCTGAAGGCAACCATCACCCCTCCCTCCCTTCCTTGTTTTGCTCACCTTTACCCCTCCCCAAGCCCCTCGTCTTCAGTACATTCAACTAACTGCTTCTCATGTAACATCTGCTATGTTCCTCTGAATGTTCTGGTTTGTCTAACTGGTGAAATGACCAAACAAGTCACAACCTTTTTAGTCATAAAGCTTTACATATTCTCAATATAAAATCATATGATTAGTTTTCCATATCTAATAAATGGAAATAGGAAGGTAATAAGATCATAGCACCAATAAGCCAACAAAATAAAGCGTAAATGCTATTCATCTGAGGGCCAGTGTCAAGCCTAATGGAAAGCAGTCTTGGAAATTCTACAAAAATGTGTGCTTTCCCTTCCTAAAGCAGGCAGCCTAATATAGTAGAGGGAGGATCTGCAGTCAAGACTATCTTTATATGGAATAGTGGGAAGAACACTGAGTTTTGTGTTAACCTCTCTAAGCCTGTTCTCTTATAAAAGAAAAAAAAAAAGCAAAAGCACTGATGATTAAATCAAAATGAGATGACATAGGGGACATGCCTGGCAGAAAGAAATGGCTCATACAGGTATGTTACGTGTTGTAATTCCAACTGGTTCTGTCAGAAATGGTCTACTTGCTTACCTGCTGTATTTTCCCTTGCCACTGGAAAGAATGCCACCACTCAGTGTGCCCCCTGAGAGGGCTGCAAAGCTGGCTGTTTCGCTGTATGGACCCTGCATAACACTGAGTCCATCTGTAGGGCTTCCACTGGTGCTCAAGACACTAGTCAGACCTTCAATGCTGCTTTCTCCAATGCTGGGGTTCTTGAGGGCTCGCCAGGCATCTGCCACTGAGGAAGGAACCAAACACTTGAATTCAAGATAGCACAGCATCAAAACAGTCTGGCATTTTCCTGCAGACTTCAGAGTGAACAATATTCACGTAGAAAAGTACTCATCTACTCAGTTAGTGAAGAGCCACTATATGCAGCCACTACGCATGAAGTGTTTTACCATATGTTCATATTTAATTTTCCCAATAACTAGGCATTAATAGCCCCAATTTTAGATGAGGAAACAAAAGCTTACAACTAAATGACTAGTCACACCAAAACTACAATTCAGATTCCAAGTCCACTATTCTTTCCAATATACCGTAGGTACCATCTAATCAAACATGAAGATTTCAAAATATGTTTAGGTCTTATGTGCTGATTCTAATAGGAAACTGGAAAACCCTCTGGGGATCTCTGTGCCCCAGTGGAGTTAATATGACAGAGTGGAAACATCAAAGTAGAAGTCAGAAGACTTGCTCTAGTCCCAGCTCAGCAGAAGCTCCTAAGCCCATTAAACAGATGTTGAGACAAAAGCTTAAAGAAGTTCCCATTAAATGTGGAATAATAATAGCTCCCACCTTCCCTCTTCAGAGAGCTGCTGTAAAAAAACCAAGTACGATAATAACTGTGTGAAGTCCTCTGAAAATTATAAAGTACTGTGCAGATTTAAGACTTTATTATAATCACTACTATTACCAGCGTACCTGGAGTTACTTGGAATCCTACTAGTTTGTACCTGCCACATAGAGGCAAGTACCAGAGGAATTAACCTAATAACTCTGGAACAAAGAAATGAAAAACTAAAAATACTTTACCCCCTACGAAGCTCATTATCCAAAGTAATCCAACGGCAATCTCTCTGTAAAATGTGCTGAATTTTTACTGATTTTTACCTTGTGTCCCATAAATTCAAAAGGAAATGAAAATCCTCCTTTTACCTGTGATTGGGCCATCATCTTCATCAAACTCAATTTTCACTCCCTTTCCATTGGCCGTGCTAACTCCACAGCCGCCTCCGCGACAGAGAGAAATGGGCACAACCCCGTAGACATAAGCCAGCATAATGGGGACGCCAATACCTGAGGGAAGAGGAGGGAACATGTCAGCAGGTCATCGGGTTGCAGCTGCCCTGAATTCTCCTTCCCAGCCTGAGCATAGACAAACCACTTTATAAAGGGCCAAGGAAAGGCAAAAGATGGCTCATCCCACAGAGGCAGGCTGGTCTAACAGAATGACAACTGGGCTTCGAATCAGAAAGGTATGGATTGGAATCTGGGCTCCAACTTACTAGCCATATGACCTTGGACATATCTTCCCAGGGTTGTCAATGATCAAAAGAAAACGTATGTACAGTGCCCAGCACAGTAAGTAGATGTTGCTTTCACTCTCCCCCTTCTAGTCACTGTTCAAGTGCTAATCCAAGAAGGAATCAATAACCACACATTAAATAAGTGACTCCTGGGGTTAGAATCCCACCAGAATATTAATTCCTAAATCTTACTGCTGTGTGAAGCAGATGGCTTATTTGTAAAGAGCAAAAGCTCTGAAGTCGGACTGCCCCGATTCATGCCCCAGCTAAGTGACCTTGGACAAATTACTGCACATTCCTGTTACAACTGTGCTGCTGGGAGGATTAAATGAATTAATACATACAAAACATTCAGAACTGCTACTGGCACATGGAGAGCCTCAATAAATGTTAGTTGTATTATTATTCCTCTAAAACAAACCCTCCCGCCTCCCAAAATAGTGTGAAGCATTAAGCAAATCAAAATAAAAGTAATTTTGTTTTGTGGGTTCCATGGCAAGTGGAGAAAATAAAAGATAAAAGGTAAAAAACTAGGCCTTAAAGTAATATTCTTTAATTCAACCTTCTCTGAAAGATCCCTAACTCTGATAATTTAGTGTGGCCTGATAATTATAATAATAGTGCCTAAGAGAATTAACCCAAGGTGGGTTTGGTATAAAACATAGGGGCCTCCAGGGTGAAACACCTGGCCAGCTGGCTGAACTGTCAAGTCAGAAACCTGATTGGGAGGGGAGAGTGAGTGGGACAGGATGGAGGGAGAGGGGAGATGGGTGATGGGAGAGGGAGAGGAGTTGAGTTGTGGTCCTGGCTAGCTTCTTACCAACACTAACTGCAGCAATAACTGGGGATGCAATGACCGACAAAGTCACACCTCCTGTGATAGCCAAATTCCTCTTATGTTTGGAGGTTTTCCTTCCTTCATACCTGCTGTGAATCTAAGAATAAGAAAGAAAATCCAGGTCAGCAGGTTAGGACATCAGTTTGTTTTTTTGCCAGAGAGTAAAAGACAAGTGAATATTCCCATATAAGTTATCTATATTAAAACGTATTCCCCACGCCAAAGAAGCATGTTTCTCAAATTTTAACCTAAATCAGACCAGGATGATATAAACTAATACAGAAAAAGTTAATCCAAGAAGAGACAAAATAACTCAAGAGGGTGAAGTAAGCATTTCACCTTTAAGTCACTGAGACAAACCAGGTCCAGGATGTTAATAAGAACTTTCAGATCTCTTGGGGGTTTATGAAAATCCATTTAAGAAATTAAGGTTATTTTTATCCAAGAGCCAGCTGGTTTTCAGGCAGCTCTGAACATAAGCTCCTCCCCATTTCCTTCAAACCTTTACCAACAAACCTGAAAATGGAACATTCACAGAACTCAATGTCTTACCTTCCTGCCAACATAAACAGGAATGCCAATGACCATGGCAGGAATGGCAATGCCAGCAATGAGGGAAATCCCCACCGGAGCACCAATCAATGTGCCCAACTGCCAAAGAATTTTCTTCTTACGGCTCCATGGCTTCTTGCCCCAGAAAGTGCAGCCAGAGGGGCTGCAGAGGAAACATACTGAAGTTAATGTCAGTGTTACAAATGCAGCTATTGTTACCGGAGGGCTTGATAAGGGCAAGAGCCTTTTTTTCAATAGGAGTGATTAATAGTTATGGGAAATGAATACGTATATTACATGAAGGGAGCAAAGGACAAGGCCAGATTATTAGGAGCTTTGAGCTCCTTACTTTTTTTTTTTTTTTTTAAGCCTGGCCTACAGACTTGAAACCTCTTCTCTATTCTTTCCTGTTGAATTCTCTCCTCCCTAACCTATCAATACTGATTCAGTTTCCTTGACTGATACTACTAGGGATCCTGCATAGCCTACACACTTGACATCTCAGCCAAATGCATTGTGCCTTGCAGCTAATGAACACTCTGGTTTGCAAAGTTTTCTTGGCATATGTCCTACCACATCTGATAGATACTGCAAACCATGTTCCTGGGAAAGGATATAAAAAGACTTTGTCACAACCTTTATGTCAGTTTCATACTCTGAGTCCAAATATTTTTGCTCATTCCCTTTGTCCTGTCTTCTCTACCAGATGGGATAAGCAATTATGAAAGTAAGAATCATGTCTCATACACTTGTGTCCCTAATAATTGGAAACTATAAGTACTCAAATGTTTGCTAAAATGGAAATTAAAGTGTTCCATCCACACAATGAATGCTAAATTTGTAAATATTAACTCCTTCAGAACAATATTTTAATATTCACTCGATGAATTCTTTGGAAACTCACCATATGCAAGGAATTACAGAAAGGTAACTCTGGCCTTAAGAAACTTATGCAATTTAGCAAAATTAGATATGTACAAGAAGTAAAAGAAGTGATGACATTTATAAAGAAACCTTTAAGGAATGTCAGTGAAGAAGAATGAGGCAGAAAAGGCTGGGGAAGGCATCACAGATGAAACAGCATTTAAGTGGCCCTTGAAGCATGGATAAGAACTGAACAGATTAAGATAAAAGAGGGTTGCTGGGAGGGTGAGGTGATTAGAATGCATTCTAGGCAAAGGAAAGAACTTGAACAAGTAGGAGGGGTAAGATAGCACAGAAGAGATACAGGGAACAGCAAGCCCAGATTATGTGTCCGGAATATAGCATGTATGAAAGCAAATGGAAAAAGCTAGGAAAAGGAGATTAGGGATAGACTGTGGAATGCCTTAAAAGCCATGCTAGGGAAACTGAACTCTATCTGAAAGGTAATAGCAACAGTTCCTGGAAGTTGCTGAGCTGGAGAAAAACATGATTGGAGGGGTGCTTCAGGGAAGTGTTTTATAGTTCCCTTATGCTATAATGACAGAACAGATCTATGTTTCGTTGACATCCTTTTCCCTAAATCAGTAAGAGAACAAGGCTATAAAAGCAATGGACACATTTTCTGTCTCACCTGAGGTAATGCAAGTCTGAGATCTCTTTCATACAAAGCCAACAGAATTCACAGCCACACACTGCACAGGTCATATGATTACAGCTTCCATCATTCATCTTGATAATGTAAGCACTGCATCGTGGGCATGGCTTGATGTCATCTGCTAAAGGGGAAGGAAGAATGGGTAGAAAAATACCCTAGTTAAACCTACTGATGTTATTATTGCGAGGAGTATATGTAAGAAATGAGGAGGCAGTCAAGAACTCTTGACTGAAAATTCCAAATTGTGCAACCCACTTCACTGGAAGGCTGGCTATGTCTAGACCTCAGGAAATTTCATAAAACGGATCCTGTCTCATATCGAGTTGCCTCTCCCCAAAACTGACATCTTACATAGCACTTGAGCCACACTCCGAGCAAGGAGACTTCCCTAGAGAGGAAGACGGTTCCAAGAAAAATGAAATTTCACCAGCCAATAGTCTGGCAGAATTAAAAGTAGAGTCCAGCAGGAAGAACAGTCTGCAGACTGGAACTGACTTTAAGTTTTGAAAAACTGCGGTCAGGAAATTCATTTCTCAGGCTCAGCAAGTATCATTGTGATGTGCTGTTAATAGGCAATCCACAGTCCCTTTCCATTACACTTCTAAATTCAAAGCCTAAAAACAACTGAGTATGCTATATAGCATACACCTGGTAATTTTCACAGCACGCTAGGAACTATCCTATTAAAATGACAATTTTAGGAGATTATGCTGTGCCAGGAAAAAGTGAATGGTAAAATCTTTCCTACTAGCCTCTCCCAAATGACATCAGTGAAAGAAGTACATTTATAAAAGGCAATAAACCCACTGACATTTTTAAATAGGTTTACTCTGACTCGTGAAGCTTGGAACTGAATGCGTGATGTTCCTCCTTTTCAGGTTAATCATTAATTCATATTAATATTTCCTTTCCTTAAATCTGTAGCCTGCTTTCCAAAAGTGGTGATGCACTTAAGGCGAATAGGAAAACAGTACAGGTATAACACTAAATGTCTTTCTGCTCACCGTGAAAGTTTTGAAAAAGCCCCTTGCAAAAGGACCTAATTGCTATCCAATCAGACATATTACCAAGGTTGAAACCAGAGGATTCAATTTTGTTGTATTCCGATTTTATCTGGGTTGAATATCTATAATGATCAGAGAGAGACGCTACATATCAAATATAATACTGAAAGTATTGCCAAATAGTTTCTGCTTTCTGCTCCCAGGAAACACTTGGTTATACAGTAATGCCATCTCTCCCAGCTTGGGCTCACATTATGAAGTATAAAATAAAGAGACAAATGAGACAATGGCAATTTATACCTGGTCCAGATTCTTGCCCATAACTGAGCCCCGAAGTGTGCTTGGTCCGTACTCGCAAAGTCTGTGCCCTCTGCTGCCGGGCCATATCGCATGTCTGATTTGGATGCCATATTTGCTTGCAATGGTAGCAGAACTCAGTCTGGCAACCTTCCCTCTCACAGGTCAGCTTTGGGCAGCTGGCACAGCCATAGGCAATAACAGCATAACTGGGTAAGGAAATAGGAAGCGATATCAGACAGGTAAGAATGATTTAACCAAGACAGACATTCATCTATTCCAGTGGAGTAACACTGTCTGGCACCCCCACCACTACATACAATGTAGAGAAAAAAACACATAACACACACACACACACACACACACACACACACAAAGTGTGCCTAACAAACTGTAAAACATGTTCCGTGTGAAAAAGTAAATTCCCTGGAAAAAATAGGGAAAAATGTCATACTGACCCTGAATTTCTAGCATGTATTCAGTCATAGTTTAAACTGTTTTAGGAGCAGTTTGCCGCAGCAAGTTTGATAAATAACAAGGTACAAAATGATTTCCTTTTGATGGTTTGCTATATTTAGAGAGATTAGAATTTGTTTACATTAAGGGATGGAACATTTGTAAAATTAAAGAGCTATAGCCAAAACTAAAGCAAGTGTACTTTTTCATTTTTAAGTTCCACAGTGAAGCTGCTCTGACCATAGCCTGAGAGACAATAGCTAGCTATCGATGGATTCATGATCAACTTCTCCTACTGAAAGCTCATATTCTCTTTCTGTACTTTTTTCTTTCCTTCCTTCCTTTCTCACTTCAAATCTACACCATTAAATATCTTTTTTTCCTTGACAGGCTCCAGAATCCAAGAATACCAATTATCTACCACATTAATTAATATAGACTTAAGGCCATATCTCCTCCCCTCTCTTCTGACCCATATTCTCAGTAAAGATGGGCAATTCAGAATCTGTGAGCACCAGCATTAACTGTTTCTTATAATTCATGTTTATTTACCAAGAATTACTATCCCACAAACAATCCAATATATGTACAACTATTAGCTTTTCAGACTAATTATAAATATGTCAACTAAGTACTCAGATTACACTAACAAGTGGACACTTATTTAAAATAAAAATTTTTAACTAAATCAATTTAATTTTAAGAAACAAATGAAGAAGGGAAGACAGCAGTTGTGAAATTTCACACATTTTTAGACAGGTCAATGATTTCAGGCTTAGGTGTTAACATCTGAGGTCTGTCATCCCCTATTCCTCCTATAGCCAAAGACCTCAAACACTCATACAAAAGGCTAATAATGGTTGGTTGGTTTGTTTGAATGTGTATCAATGTTCATTAGAGCAACTCAAGTTCTCAGGTTTATCCTAGATTCTGCGAGTTGATTTGAAAACGACACTGAAAATATCGATGATAAGGTATCTATGTTATATAATATTTGCCATATTGAGAATCTTCTCAGGGCAAAGGAAGAATAGGTCAGTGTAGGTCAATGGATGGATGTAAATGATTCATATCCTGCAGGGGTTCTGAGCAAATCTAGCTGCAAAGTAACTACTAAACAACATTTCTCCTGAAGAGAGGAACTTGCTTGCTATTGGGTGTTAAATGGGAAAGGTACTGGATGAGCCCGGAAAGTATTAAGTCAACTTCTGATGATACGATTAGATAGGCTGCCAGTCAAGAAGCCTTGAACATTTCATGGTCCATTCCTACCTTACACGGTGGGAGCAAATATTTATTAACAGGTTTCCCCCCAACCACCCCCTTATTTTTAAATAAGAACATTTGATAGGATTGACAATGTAAATTTGGGGTGTGGAATTTGGTTCCAAGGAAGTAAAATAACCCCAAATACTCACGAATCTACAGCAATCTATTACCATGACACAGAATTACTCAGGGCACGTGATTAGGCATTCCTGTTTTGGGGCTCCTTGTCTGGGTTCTTTGCCCCTGACTCATACTGCATGACACTGAGCTAAAATCCCCAAACCTTAGTTTCTATTCCCAAAATGGAGTATAGGTGCTTGCCACCTTCAAGTGTGACTAAACATGTTCTGAAACTGTATTTGAGATCTTGCTCTGAAAGGTATGGTATAAAAACAGCACTTTTTTCTGGTCCTACTTCTTGGCCTTTGCATATTCTATTCCTTCTGCCTAGAAATGTCCTTTCCTTACTTCTTGCCATATCAAATACTTATTCATTTAAGAACCAGCTCAAATGTCATCTTCTCTATAAAATCCACTAGCTGGTTGCCTATTTCATGCCTGTGCATAATTACTTTATAATACTTATCACATTATATTGTAATTATGTTTATATGCATACTTCCCCAACCAGACTACACTCAAGGAAAAGTACCATCCATTTCTCATCTCCAGGGTCTAGCACACTAGTTCATGTTTAAAATACCTATATTGAATGAATGACAGAGACCCTTCCCTGCTGGGTTTTTCCCTTTCCCCAGGGCATTCTAGCTCTTCTCCTGGGTCATTACTCTGCCCTAACTCAATCTTTTAAACTTATCCATGTACCTATTGGCTTACTATATGCCAAGTACTATAACTTAATCCTAAAATTTTGTGTAAGCCCACTTTAGAGGTAAACTCCTAAGTTCTAAACAGGGCAATCTTGGGCTGGCTGAGTAGCTCAGTTGGTTAAGAGCTTGCTCAAGGGTTTGAGCTCTGAGCAACAGCGGTTCAATGCCCAGCCCAAGCTGAGCAGCCACTGAGCTGCCAACAGGTGGCAGGATAGCTCAGCTTAAAAAACAACAACAACAAAAAACAACAACAACAAAAAATACACAGGGCCGGCCGAGTGGCGTAATGGTTAAGAACTGGCTTGGGACGCCAGAGGGCCCCGGTTCGGATCCCACATATGAGGGCCAGTTGACACTGCCCTCTACAACTAAGATATTGAAAAACAGCTCAACCTGGAGCTGGGCTGCCATGAGTCACCGGAGATGGCATAGGCTGCAGCCCCTGCTGCAGTGGGTTGCCATGGGCTACCGTGTGTAGCCAGCAGCCAGCGTGAGCGGTCAGCAGCCGCTGTGAGCGGCCGTCCAGAAGCCGGCAACTGATCTGCCTCACCCGGGAAGAGCGCAATGATGGTGCCAACTTGGGCCAGTGAAGCAACGTCCTCCACAACTAGACTGAAGAACAAAAGGACAGCAACTTGTCTGTTCCCCTTCCCCCAATTCCCCAGCGCTGTTCCCATCCCCCAATTCCCCAATAAAAATCTTTAAAAAAATAAAAAGAAAGAAAGAAAGGTGTTCCTGTATTGTATCTGTACTTCCCAGCTCCAGGCCATGTAACTTCATTTTACAAATGAACCCTGAGCATGTGTAAGGGTGGTAGACATGGGCCAGGTTGTCACAATGAGCTGTACCCTTACTACCTTTCTTTTTCCTGCCCTAGTTCAAACCCATGTCACCTTGTGGCCAGGCAACTTCAAGAGGCTATTATCTGGTCTCCTTATTCCCCACTCCAATCCAAACTCCAATTCCAAAAGGTTATCTAGCATGATGTTACTCTTTTGCTTAAAATCCTTCAACAACAACAAAAGTCCTTCAAACCTAAACTTCTTGGCCCAGTAGAGACAGGCCTATCAACTTGAATCTAGTGTGCCTTTTCAGATTGACCTCTAGTTACTTCCCAGATCTTGCTCCCCATACTGTGCCTTCAGAAGCTAACCAAACTAGACTCAAGACATAGTCTTGTATTTCTATACCTCTGTGCATTTGCTTATAACATTCTGGTTTAAGATGTGTTTATCCCTACCTATATCTTTGCCTGATATTAATTCCTACTCATATTCTTCAAGGCCCAGATAAAATATCACCTCCTCTGTGAAGTCTTTGTTGACACTGTCACGCAAAACTTTTCACCTGTCCTCTAAAAGCACTTGTATTTTCTTTAGTATTTGTTACATTGCATTTATAGTTATCTATCTCCCTCCTACCTACCTACCTACCTACCTACCTACCTACCTACCTACCTATCTCCTCTACCAGGTGAAACTCCCTGTCAAGAGGACCAACCATGTCTAAGTCCTTTTTGTACCCAGTGCTCATCTAAGATTCAACAGCATATATTAGGTTGTTGGAAAAGTCATAACGCATTTTTGCAACGAAAAAC